TAGGCCACTTCTTGAATATGAAGAGTATCTACTGGTTATACAAAGAACAAAATTAAACAAAAGGTAAACTTATTAGGTAAAAAACCCCAACACTTCATTCTTCTGGTAGTTGGAGCCTTCATGCAAAGGTGCAAGAAATATGTGTACGTTTCCAGTGTCCCAAGCGATGTGAAAGCCATTGTAATAATCCAGCATATAAACCTGGTTTAATGCTCTCATAATGGGTAATGCAGGTGATTAAATACTGTGATTTTAATCTTGGCATTTCAGTAACCCAATAAGATAGATGAAAAGGCAGTAACAAATTAGATTATATAATGCTATTTCATTCTAACTAAGAAGTCCAGTTATCCTCTGCAATACGTGTTTTTGTTTTTAGGTTTATCATAGTATTGCCGTTAAAAAATGCTCTAATAAGAATCCACTATTCTTTTCATCGTAGTCTATTTTCATGACCTTGTGAAGAACCTAATCCGAGGTCAAGTTGTCTCCACAAACACAACTTTATATTGCTTTATTGTCTTTTTGGGAGAACACCAAAATGATCCCCACCTTCTTTCTTATCTGAAACTGTACTTCGTCTACCTGTTGGGCAATGTGGAAACCACACGACAGCCCTTCACTGGGTTTTTGTGGCCTTGGAAGAACTGGAAGCGGAATATGGGGTGTCATCCCTGGGTGGGCACGCCAGGCCTCGTTCACGTGAGCCAATGTGGAGGGGTAATGGGACATCAGCTGCGCCCTGACAACCCTCTGTGGTTTGGGCCTCTGCTTCCCAGACACCAGTTTGTATGATTTAGTTTGGAGGGTCCCAGGCATACTTCTATACTCTTTGGCAACAACATAAATAGCAGAATCTCTGTCCTTGGAGCAGGTTCTAAGTGTCCGTGTTCTTCCTAGAATGTTTGTTGTTTGGGTTTTTCTCTCCGTGGTTTTTGCCGCCTTCGGTGAGCGAGCCACGTACAGCCCCAGAACAGGGAGAGAACAGAAAACTATAAAGGCAGAGAAAGACAACGATAATCTTCAATTCCGTTTCTGTGTATCTACTAAAAATATAAACCAAGAAGGAGACGGCTGTAGTTTCTTTTCCTGGTGGTATTGTAATCCCCAGTGCAGACTTTTAGTAAGCGTGGCAGATATTTCCCAGGTCAAGTTTATGATAATTTGTGAAAGAATATATGTCATTTATAGGGAAGATTTTTGTGGGTGCCTCCTCCACACCTCCCACCTTCTCCTCCTTCAAGAATCCATCCGTCTGGTTGTAATCTTGAATGGTGCTTCTATACAAGCATTGAACACATCCACCTGTTACATTTAAAGACCTCAACCTGCCCTCTCAGATTTGCTTTACAGTTTAAAACAAAATAACTGACAGATGATCTCGCTGCCAAGAATTTGGAACAGCAGGGAAATTGGAAAGGAGTGTCCAAAAGTCTTGCTATTTGGACACTTGTTTGCTGAGTTCAGAGTCACACACACCAGTTTTGTTGGGTGGTTCTTAGGACCACCAAGAACATCAGCGACCACCACCATTTACTGAGTGCCCAGGGCTTTTTTAGCATTTACGGAGCCCCTCCCAGGAGGGAGCAGTTGTTCCATGTTGTGTAAAAGGGAACTTAACCTTCAGTGACAGAGTCAGTGACAGACTGCATTCAAGTCCAGTGTTTTCAAAGCTCTTGCATTTAATTACTGAGTTCAGGGGCACTTGGGTGGCTCAGTCGGTTAAGCGTCTGACTTCGACTCAGGTCATGATCTCATAGTCTGTGAGTTTGAACCCCCTGTTGGGCTCTGTGCTGACAGCTCAGAGCTGGGAGCCTGCTTCAGATTCTCTTCACCCTCGTTCTCTGCCCCTCTCCCACTCGTGCTCTGTCTCTCTCACTCTCAAAAATAAATAAACATAAAAAAATTACTGAGTTCATGCTTTAACCACCTTGTGTGGTTTTACGATTTTACTTGGAAATCCAAGGAGGCGCTTCTAGGGCTCTGTCGGGTTGGAGAACGAAGCAGACAGGTATTGCTTTGAAAAGAGGGTTCCAATATTTCAGTGTTTGACAATCTCATAGTATGCTATATTTGCCATCCCTAGTATGTATGCATGTTTGTTCATACGTATGTATATTAAGAGTAGAACAAATTAGTATAATATGTATGTATGTATGTATGCACACATTGAACATTTATTAGATACCAGACTCAGTGCATAAGGTTTTCCTTAGATGAAGTTGCCAAGACCCCCCAGGGGGTAGGAATCCTTCCCATTTTACCCATAAGGACTAAGAGACGGTGGTCATTGCATACGAAGTCACACATGGGTTCCCCTCAGCCCCCGAGCCCTTCCACGGTACCACTGGTCTGGTGGTCTGACTCACCTGTGTCCAGAATTCCTGATGGCCCCCTCACTGGGTAACCCTTATTGAGCATTTTCCTATTTGTATCCTGGGGATGGCTGGCCTGTGAATTCTAGAAGGTTTGTTGCTTTAGGGCAATTAAATAACTTGACAACTTTCTTATTTGCATTCCTGTCTGAAGGCATGTCCTACCACCTTTATCAGACCTCATATCTCCTCAGCATCATGTCTCTGGAAGGGACATGCGTGAACGTGGCATTTACCACAGTGGGTGAAGGTTCCCGACTTCGCCTCCACGAGGAACCGGCCCTCTTCTCTGCTATTGCTCCTTCCTGGTGTGCAGAGGGAGGGCGGGGCCCTGGCATCTTGTGGGGAGGCCGTGACCAGTCCTCGTTCCTGGCTGCTCCTTGCAGTTCTCTTCAGTCTTCTTGTGGGTATGGGTCAAATGCAGGTGCGGGTGGGTGCAGATGTCAGATTTCCATGGACTTGCACGAGGAGGTGGGCCTCGCCTGTCTCCTGGCTTCCTTGCTTCCTTGGGACTGGTGACTGTCCCGGCCCCGCCTCTGGAATTTTCACGTTGTTCTGGATGCTGATTATTTATTTATTTATTTATTTATTTATTTATTTATTTATTTCCTGTGTATGATTCTTCAAAATGAAATCTAGGCCTCTAGGAATATTCTCACGACCCTGGTCAATTCTGGAATTCCAGAAAAATTACAGGTTGCAATTTTTGTCTAAAAGGAAAAAGAAATGCCACCGCCCCCACCGAGTTTTAGTCTAAACTGTTGAGACCGAGTATGTTGGGGATCACAGGCTGTTACCTAGTGGATTTCTTGAAATGTCTGCATTTCCACCTCTCTGCTGTGTTGGTCTCCCATCATAAATCTACAGATAGATTTGTATTTTGTAGGAATTACTTTCGAATCAAACTGGAAAGATTGATTTTCCTTTCCAGTAGAAAGGGAATTAGTGAACTGGAGGCTCCCCATGCTCTAAAGTAGCAACATGTCTGGGGGGAGCTTCGGATTTAACCAAGGACACAGAGCCAACTTGTTTTGTCATAAAAAGCTAAAATAGGAGAGCCTCCTAGGTTGTGCTGATTTCTATGTAAGTGTAAGTAATTTTACTAGTTTCTGAGTGGGTGCAGAAAGCCTCAAGTTGTTTTGAAAAGAAATTGCTGTTGTCAGGTGGTGAATTCTCCCTCTGCCCACGTGTAAATTTAGAAAACTCTGGATTTTTATTTTCACCAAAAGTAGCATCTGAATAACAAATAAAAAGCCTCCTTTTTTTTTTTTAAGTTCAAAGTGAAAAAGAGTAAGAAAGAGCAAATGAGAATATCCCCCCCACCGACCATATTTCACCCTCTTTTCTTTTCCGCTGAGACAAAATGCATTATCTGATCTTCGGTTTCATTTATTTCGTGCCTCGCTGTGCACTTGGTGGAGCTGGCTTCTCCCAAGATTATGTTCTGACAGGGTGATGGGGCCCAGCACCCGGCCGGCAGGGCGCCTTTGCTTCGGGAGGCGTGATGAAAAAATGTTTGTCCCCTCCCTTTCATCTTACGCCTAAAGCCACAGTGGCGCAAGAGGAATTTGCCCTTTCCAGTAGATCTGTCTGTATCGTGGCCTCTTGCTGTTATGGCCATCCCCTCTGTGAATGAGGAAGCGGAGAGCACTGGCATTCAGCCTATCGTAGCCAGTTCACTGGATTACCCACACAAAACATTTCCTATTGGAGACGAAACCAGGCGGTGAGGGGGGGTGGATGCCCAAACTGGCCATTCTAGAAACTTCTATCCCCTGGGGAAGGACTCCCCAGGAGTGACTCAGGCCATGGTGGCAGCAAAGTGTGTTTTAGAATCTATTTTCATCAGCTCATTATAACCAAGGCATGCACTTGATCAAAACCCCGTTCTTTTCCAACTTCGTAGCCCCAGGTACTCCTTCATTACTTCATTGCTGGACACGGCTGACCAGGGCGCCACTCGAAACATGAGTGTCAGAGGAAAGGCTCTCTCAGTGCTGGCTCACACAGACAGGAGGAGTGGTCTCCCAAACAGTGAAGCCCAGATCTGTAAAACTGGTTTTTCTCACAGCTGCATGACCCCTGCAGTAAGCATTCAAACACGGATATAGAGTGTCTCCTGTCCCATTTCTTGCAGACGTTTGCAATTAGCGTTCTTTATTTGTGGACAACTCTGCTGTGTGTGTGACCGGATGAATTTGCAATTCCTTTTCTCGGTCTTTCTTTTTTAGTGCAACGCCATGATGGTGAGAGGTAAGCCCGCAGTGGTAAAACTAATGTTCTGGTCAAATGGAACATAGAATCACAGAACTGTGCTCAACTCAGGTGCCTGGTGTGTAGAATTTTTTGTCATAAGGGAAGCCAGAGGCCAACCTTTATTTTTCTGTACTCAGAGTGCCACGAAATGTCTCGGGTTAATTTTCTTGGCCCAAACAATCGCGTGGTAGCATTCTGCCTGCATTTGTCACCACGGTTTTAAGGTAATGGTACTGGAAACGTATATGGCTGATAAATTTTCCCCCAAGACATTTAAAAATCTTTCTTCTTTTCCTTCACAGACAGCCTGTGCCTATGGAGATATTTGTCTCACCTGCACCTCTTGTGTCTGGTTTTCTTTCTGTCCAGGCCTTCTGCCTTATCTAGTAGCCCCACGTATTCAGACCTGCCCTTCATCAGGATCTCCCCTCACCGGAACCCCGCTGCAGCTTCTGAGCCCCCCTTCAGCCCTCCGCACCCCTACATCAATCCCTACATGGACTACATCCGGTCTCTTCATAGCCCGTCCCTCTCCATGATCTCGGCCGCCCGGGGGCTCAGCCCCACAGACGGTAAGTCAGTCCCCGACCAGCCCTTTCCCCCTGTTCCACCCATCGTGCCTCACCCGGAGCGTGGTATAGAGCAGCTCTGATGTTTACTGAATGTTTCCCGTGTGCCAGGTGCTGTGCTAAGTGATTTAAGAACATGCTTTCGCTTTAGCCTTGGGACACCTCCATGAGGGTGGGGGTACCGTCTCCATTTTCAGGCGAGGAGAGCAATGGGCAGAGGGGCCATGTAACAGGCAACATGGCCCGGTGGCTACTAAGTGGTACGTGGAACTCACAGCCAGCACTCAGGGACTCCAAAGACCTTGCTCCCATCCACTGTTCTGTTCTGCCACTCCACGTGCACACAGCACGCACGTGTAACCGGCCATTGTGCTTACCTTCCGATGGAGACTTTTCTGTTCTGCACGTGCAGAACACCTCCAATTGCACTGTGCACGCGGACCACCCGGGGAGGATGATAAAATGTGATTCTGTGCGGGGGGGTCGGTCTGGGGGGCTGCCGAGGTTCTGCACACTGTAAAGCTCCCAGGTGGCACGTCAGCGCTGTTGGTCTGTGGACCGTGCTCTGAGCAGCAAGGCTTAGAGAACATGATGGTCTAGATCTGTTGCACGTGCCCTCCATCCTTGGCCATGCCCAGTGAGAAGTGGAAGAGGGATGTACGGGAAAAGAACCAGACTTTGACTTTAATTTTATTATACTTGATGCTCATTTTAAACTCTCAAGGGTCAAATTCCTGTTGGTTCTATTAGCTTCCCAATTAATTACTTCTCACAAGACTCTTTAATTGGAGCTGTGTATTCCGTAACTGTCAAATTATGAAACGTTCCTTTGATTCAGGAAGAGCTTTTCCCATCACGTGCATACATATGCAAACTCACTTGTCCACCATTGCTGGAATCTGAATTAAGGTCCAGAACGGTGTGAGCCATATTAATTAGAAATAATGGGTTGTGAGTTTTCTACGGCAGCCCGCAGCGGCTGGTGCTTGTGTAGGAGCTCACAGGAACGCCACGCAGGCCATCTCACCGAGTAGTGGTGTGAACCTGCACCTCCCACGTCCTCCCTGCAGACCTCTCCCGGGGCCGGCTGTGCATGGTAGGAAGTGGGGGGGGTGGAGGGCGGGGCACGGATCGCAGGAGGTTTCTCAGTGAGTATCTCTCCAGTCACAGTCCAGGAGCAGCTGTGGTCCAGCAATGGCTGTCGGCTCGTTTCTTTCCTTTGGATTCAGTGCAGTGGGTAGAGTTGTAAGGTACCTAAGGAATAAGTTGTGCCATTTGGACAAGATTCATATTAAAAAAAAAAAAAAAAGTTAATGTAAGAGAATCAGACCCAAGTTAAGTTCTCCTGTTTTGGATTTGGTTTCACAGTGGGAAAAAAATGGAGAGCCATCTCCATGAGTACTTGGGAGTTCATGGGAATGACAGTGTAGGAGAAGAGAGGGAGAGATGGGTGAGGGCGACCAGCTCACAACAGACTTGGAATTATGCCTGCCTTGCAGAAATTTCATTGGGCCAGTGGAAAGTGGCACCTCTAGTTAAAGCGCCTTCTCATCTGTTTTCCATAATATTTGATGATGAGTATGAATGAAACATTCTTTAACTTTTTTTTAATGTTTATTTTTGAGAGAGAGACACACACAGACAGAGCATGAGCAGGGGAGGGGCAGAGAGAGAGGGAGACCACAGAATCTGAAGCAGATTCCAGGCTCCGAGCCGTCAGCACAGAGCCCTACGCGGGGCCTGAACCCACACACAAACCTGAGACCTGAGCCGAAGTCGGTCTCTCAACCGACTGAACCACCCAGGTGCTCCTGAATAAAGCTTTCTTTGATTGGTCTTTCTTCCTTCCTCTTCCTGCCTCTCAAGAGGCTAACTAATACTCCATCACATAAAGTCAAGTCACAGATGTTTCTCACGTGTAGTCTGAGATGTTTGTATATATCTACATATATTTTTATCACGAAAAAAGTATGTGCACGCAGATGGAAAACATACACAGACCTATTGCTAGAATCCCCATGCTTCTACCTAGTAATTGTAAAACAAACTTTTCCTGATGGAATGCTATGTGCTAAGTAAACACTTCCCAAGGGCTGTTGCAATCATTGTTGCCAACAGCCCCTTGCAGCAGCGGTAAGAGGAGTCGGGATTTGCATCCAGCTCTTGGAAAATCTGGAGACCACCCTCGGAACTGCTACAGTGTCTTGCCGCTTTTGCACATAAATTGGCAGTGGAAACACATGATTATCCCACTCTTACTGAGCTGACTCTTGCCAGTAAATTGCCCCAGATTGATAGGTATATTTCCTTTTTGATTTTGTAATGAAAAAAAGGAAAAAAAAAAGAGCTCTAAAATTATGGAACACAAAATTGCAGCTTATCAGCCCATCATGTGTTATTAAAGCTGTGCTGTCTTTTCCACTTATAAGCCCTGGGCCCTCCAGGTAGCGAGAGCTGACTCCGTCACCCCTGCCAGAAGCTTCGGGAAGTATTTTGAGTGTGTCCGGAAAGATATCACGGTGGTCTGAGTTGTCTACCACTGTAAGAAATGTGAACCTACGGTGATTTCATATAAGAAACAATTTAACTTGGGGACGGGGGGAACGTGGGGAGGAGAATAGATATACATTCTAATCATTTGGAATTCTTGGTTATTTCTTTAAACTAGCCTTACAGATTTTTAGGATGTATTTTATTTTTTCTATTTTTCAGTTTTATTTTCATTTTTTTCTATCCTTTTAAAAAAAATTTTATTTAAATCCAAGTTCGTTAACATATAGTGTAATAATGGTTTCAGGAGTAGAATTTAGTGATTCATCACTTACATAGAACACCCAGTGCTCCTCCCAACAAGCGCCCCCCTTTAATGCCCATCACCCATTTAGCCCATCCCCCCACCCAACGCCCCACCAGCAACCCTCAGTTTGTTCTCTGTATTTGAGTCTCTTATGGTTTGCCTCCCTCCCGGTTTCTGTCTTATTTTTCAAATAGAAGCTCTCTAGAGCAGACTTCAGTGAAAACACAGTTTGAGCTCTGGCCGTTTTATTAGAATAAGCCATAAAAGGGAGTACTGATGTGGATGGCTCAGCAGACGGACGTTGCCTCCAGAAGCGTTTCTTGTTGACCTTCTTCCAGCTAGTCACCACGCTTTCCTTGTCTCCTCTCCTAGCCCCCCACGCCGGGGTCAGCCCAGCAGAATACTATCACCAGATGGCTCTGCTAGCTGGCCAGCGCAGCCCCTATGCAGACATCATTCCCTCCGCGGCCACTGCCGGCGCTGGGGCCATCCACATGGAATATCTTCACGCCATGGACAGTAAGTGATGGGGCTGTTTTCTGTAGTCCTGGTGGTGGCAGATGCTAACGCGTGAATTACAGAGGAAGATGCAAAGACGAGGTGATTGTCTAACTTCTGAAACCAGAGAAGGGGAAAGAATATTTGGTGCACTCCTTTCCTTGGTCTGCTAAGAAGCTTCCACAGATCTGGCCATCCCGAGACTCCTTGCAGAGCTCAGGGATACCGATGAGCTGGAACATGCCGGCGATTGTAATTTGGCAGCTGTTCAAAAAGCTCTCCTGCCCTGATTGTCGTGATAACAAAATCAGGGAACGTGTTTGATTCCATGGATGGGCTTCACCCAGTTCACTCCTTGGTTTTCTGGATTTTATGCTTTGGGAGTTGATTTTGTTTTTAAATCTGTACTTGGTTTTTAAATTTTTCCATGGATTTATTTTGCTTCATGTTTTCTTTACATGAAAAATTATATTTCACGAAGACCTTTTATCTAGAAAAAATAAAAAGCATTTCCAAACCAGAGCTATTTTTAGGACATAACAGTAGAAGATAAGGGCGTCATTTGATGCTTTTTTTTTTTTAATTTTTTTAATGTTTATTTTTGAGAGAGAGAAAGAGACAGAGCATGAGTGGGAAGGGGGCGGAGAGAGAGGGAGAGAAAGAATCAAAAGCAGGCTCTAGGCTCTGCTGTCAGTACAGAGCCTGACGTGGGGCTTGAGCTCACGAACCACGAGATCATGACGTGAGCTGAAGTCGGACACCTAACCACTGAGCCACTCAGGTGCCCCAATGCTTTTTATATCCCTTATTTTTGGATCCCTCAAGGCTTCTAATGATTCCTTTGGGTCACTTATCTAGACATGTAGACAAATGAGCCTATAAATACCATGGTTCAGAACATCCCAAGAGTTCTTATTTATTCAGATTCCTTAAGTTCCATTTGCCAGGTGCCAGAAAGAGGACGTGAAGCATCATCGGAGGTGTCAGCGAAAGCCACGACCCTTATGAATATGACAACTGTATGGCTTTGAGTTGGGCATTTGCTCTGGGTTTTGTTTGTTTTTCCCGGTAGCAGTGCTTTCTCATCTACAGTCTCTCTGGACTCTTATGTGACAAAGGTATACATTGGTCCACTCACTAGCAGTGGTGAGTAATTCAGCCTTCGGGTTTGGAGTAAAGAGAGGGTGATTGGCTTACACAGAGTAAGATCTACGGCCTTAGTCTCCTGACGGCCATGAAATAACGCAGTGTGTCACATAGGATCCTAACTTGCGATGGTTTCCATTGGGGAGTTCGTTACCACACACAACGTAGAAGAAACGTGTTACATCTTCTGCAGGGGTTTCGTTGTTTGGCTTTGTAGAGTCAAGAGCTTATATTTCAGATTCATCATAATCACATTTCAATTAGGGATTGTTGAAAAAAACAAGTTCAGCGTTATTATGCAAATTAGTTATTTAAAAATCTGCAAATAAAGAATTAAAATAGGGGAGAATCCTTGGAAGGTCAGCCCATATTACCTTCTATATTTGATGAGAATGTGTTTAGTCAGGCAATGGCGGTTTTTATCTAAATAAAGGATGAAGCTACCCTTTTACTTTGTAAAAACTAATTAAAGGAATTTTAATTTGCCTGAGTATATGGTAAATTGATTGTCATTAAGTAGGAATTTAGATGTCCTATCATTCATCACATAAAAAGAAACCTCCTTTTTCTTTGTCAGAATTTTTTATTAGAGCAGAGAAACAAAACAATTAACAGAAAGCCAGATCAGAGATATCTGTGTTGGAATGCTAAGAATGCTCAGGCTTATATTTCAGAAGGAATCCATATAATCAGTGAAGAACTGGGCCACATCTCTTTCTCTTTCAGCTTTTTTTTTTTTAAGTTTATTTATTTATTTTGAGAGAGAGAGATAGGGTGGGGCAGAGAGAGGGAGAGAGAATCCCAAGCAGGTTCTTCGTGGAGCCTAATGTGGGGCTTGAACTCTTGAATTCTGAGATCGTGACCTGAGCCAAAAATCAAGAGTTGGACACTTAACTAAGCCACCCAGGTGCCCCTCTTTCAGCTGTTTTTAAAATGTTCACCTTGTGTTTTAGCTGTTCCCCTTGACAGAGGATTCCAAATCACTGTTCCAAAATGCTGACTTTCTCTGTTTGCTTGATTATTAGGGGGTTAGGTAGAGTATATTCAAGGGTTAGAAAGTGCTTAAAATATTATCTTCCTGCTAAGAAAATGGAAATGACATTTAGCTAAACACAACATAAGAAGAGTACCCACCATTTCAGTCATAGGAGACTTTTCCAGTGGAGAAGCAAAACGATTGTAAATTAAATGCCTAAGTGGGATGTGTACCTGCAGAGGCAGAGCCTGGCCGGGATCTAGCCAGTCACTGTGATCCACTGTTAACCAGATCTTCAGGACTCTTCAGGTGGCAGAAACCACAAGAAACTGTTTTTTTTTGTTTTTTTTTTTTTCAACGTTTATTTATTTTTGGAACAGAGAGAGAGAGACAGAGCATGAACGGGGGAGGGGCAGAGAGAGGGAGACACAGAATCAGAAACAGGCTCGTCTCCAAGCCATCAGCCCAGAGCCTGACGCGGGGCTCAAACTCACGGACCGCAAGATCGTGACCTGGCTGAAGTCGGATGCTTAACCGACTGCGCCACCCAGGCGCCCCACAGGAAACTGGTTTTAATGAGCACTTGACTTTTTAATGTGCCAGCAATGGGCATATCTGGGTTTCAGCCACTTACAGGGTAGAGTACCCTACGTTGCATGTTTGAAGAAGCCAGTCTGTTTCATGGCTCTAATTCCTAATTTTTTTGGGATTAATGACCTTAAAAGATAGGAGAGCAAGTAATCCCTATAAAGGACATTCTAGAGTTGAGGGCTCCTGAAAACTGTATTATTGGTATTGGTGGAAACTGACATATATAAGAGCCCATCTTGGAGGGAAAAACAGACGGGCTGGACTAGCCAGGCCATGGACAATGTGAAGGTTTCCATGGCAGGGATGAAGGAAGGCCTCTGGGCTCTCTCTTTGGATGATATAAGGGGGTATGAGGCCTTTGTCGCTTTATAGCATCAGATAGCCACCTCATCTAGTGATTTTAAAAAATTAGAGGTGTTCCAGGGATGATCTCTGTCTAGAATGTCCTGTCACTCTTAACTCTGCCAGTGGCAACTGAGACCCATTGAGAAGGGTTATTGCTGAGGATTATATGGAGGTGGACAGTAAGTCTGGTGTGTCCTCGGAGTCATTTGGAAGTGGAAAGTGTTTCTTCATTGAAAACTAGGATGAAATTAGCCTCTCCTGGTGAGTAAATGTGAAACATTTGTGTGTAAGGCAGATGCCTTAGTAAAAGTAAGATGCTGATTTAAACACTAAAAGCTGTGTACATAGTTGGGAAGGCTATATTTCTACTAGCGTGGCCTAAATCAGGCTGGTAATGAAATTAATCTAAATGAAGAACCCAAATTTGAATCTCTGAAAGAAAAATTTGAATAGGTACCATACTCATCTTTCACACTGGTTCTCCAGGTTTATACATGGATGATGCTAACTTAACCTCCTAAGCTCCGGTTTGCCATTTATTTTTTCTAACTATAAAGTATATCTCTTTACTCCGTAGTATTATCTATAGAATCTTTCATATTCTTCTGTTTCATTTCATTAAATATCTTGAAGCATGTTGGATTGTTACCTTGTGTCAATGTCCATGATGAAGAAAATATTCCCATTGAATTTTCCAGAGACCCAAGTGCCTTGACTTTTTTCTATCAAGAAGGCTTACCTTCTACTTCAGGGTTTTGGCTGTTACTAAATTGCCGTGCCTACATATGCAGGTATACCCATACTCTGAAATAGAAACCCTCCATTGTTACTCAGAGCTAATCATGTTTGATGTGCCTCTTATGGAGTGGGATGATGTTCTCATTCTTTCATTAAACTTTAGTTTGATGACTCTGTAATGTAAATGTGACCTTAGAAAAAGCAGGAGTGTGGGCCTCTGGGACACATTGATACTAGTTCCTGAAATTCAGACCTCTAGTATCTACCAAATAGAAGGCATTCAGTTTTTAACTCTTTAGATAAAAAGCATTGTATTACGTTGGCACTCATTTAAGTAGGAGTTACTGACCTTCAGATTAGAGCTTCATCGGGGGAATCTTAATAAAAACTGAGATTCCTATTAATAAGTGCTTTATTCCCTATTAGTTCTGACTGGAGAAGCAAGGTCCAGAGAATTAAACTAGATTCATCAGCTCTCATTATGATGTTTGCATGGTTTCCCCTCCCCCCTAAAAAATCTGTTTTTTCTAGATTTGGAAAATCTGCAAACAAACCGCATCCTGAGATTTGTAATGTTTATTGGGACTCATGCCTTTAGTGTAGGGGACTGAGGCAGGGTTCCTCGGTGTAGGCACTAGTGGGGAGAGATGATTTCTCGTCGTGGGGGGCTGCCCTGTGTATCTCAGGCTGTTCAGCAGCATTCTTGGCCTCTACTCACTAGATACGAGTAGCACCCCATGAATTGTGATAACCAAAACGTCTCCAGATGTTGTCACATGTCCCCTGGGGGCATAGTTGCCCCCAATTGAGAGCCATTAATTTAGGATAATGTATTTATCAGTAGTTTTAGTAAAGCTCTAAGTATACATGGATCAGATAACTATAGAAATCATGGGGAAATGAGAGCCTAACTAAGCTGAATTTTTAATCTGAGGATGCTTTAATTCATTTTCTCCTTCGGCTCATTGCCTTAAAATGGTGTGTGTTGGGATGGGGAGGGGGGGTGTGTTGTGTGACTGTGGGAACCACTGTCTTCGTCGCTTGTGGTGAATTAATGATGGGAATATCTAAGCAGCCGTCAGATTCATAAATCACTAGAAATGAGAGGGATAACACATAAAAGCCTTTCCCTTTTGTTTAGCAATTTATCATTTTGCCTGCACATTAATAAACAGAGCTCCCCTGAGGTAAGCCCTGGAAGATAAATATTTCTCCCTAATTTCCTCAATTGTAGCCAGTAGATCACAAGTGGGTGGAGAGGTCCTTGTCACCGCAAGTTGCCGGCTTCTTCCACCCAGGCGAGTAGCGATAAATAGGTACTGAGTACAACCGCAGGTAATCGGGCTCCGTTTTGTTTATATAACAGGCACCAGATTCCCCAGCCCCAGGCTGTCAGCCAGGCCGAGCCGAAAACGTACACTGTCCATATCACCGCTGTCCGATCACAGCTTTGACCTTCAGACTATGATAAGGACATCTCCCAACTCCTTGGTCACGATTCTCAATAATTCCCGCAGCAGCTCTTCAGCAAGTGGTTCCTATGGTCACTTGTCTGCAAGTGCAATCAGGTATGTATTTCCCCCGAATCCAATATGTGTTTCTTCGATAAAGGGTCAGCGCTTGGCGGGCCCTGCATTTGCAAGACCCACTGCCTCTGAGGACGAACACAATCACGTGACACTGGGCCTGACCCGGGATGCCGGTCAGGTATCACTACAGTAGATTTTAGAGCCAGTTACTGGGCCAGTAATATTGTTTTGCAGACGTTAGTTAGTAGCCTGTACGGAGATACGGACTTACTCACTTATGATGGAATCCACTGTCTAGGGGCAGTGCTTATGGCCAGTCTTTCATCCAAGCCCCTCTTACTAATTCGAGTTCTCTAGAGAGAAAACCAGCTTCATACCTGGTTGTGTGTAACACATGGAGAAACAGGAGCGGAAATCAGAAGGCCAGGAGTGGTTGTAATTCATGGCTGTTCACTACACAGAAAAGGTCTACAAAGGAAAGGTGTCAGCAGGGTTTTTAATCTAATGGAAAATAAATGTGATGACATTGGAAGACCTACCTGTCCGCGGCGATGGGGCAAACGAGGACTTCCCCGTTTTCCTGTTAAGTATTTTTAGCTTAATTTGAAAGATCTCTTCTTGTCATCCTCCTTTGGAGTACACCGGGAACATTTCGACACTTCCTTTGGTGCTACATTGTGTCTGTACTTGTACATGAAGGACAAACACAGGCTTCTGTAAACATGCTTGCTATAAAATACTTCTCACTGCTAATGATCAAACTTGGGCCGATGTCAATAAGTAGGGAATAAAAGTAAGCCGGGCGATGAATTGTAGGTATCCTTACACTTGGTTTGAACTCTATGCATTACCAAAGAGTTATTTCAGGCCTAGAATTAGATCATGTTCTGGTTAATTCATTATGCCCCCGTGATTATCAGCTTTCGTGATCCTTTCCCCTCAGTTTTTTCCCCATAGTTGAAGGATTCAATGACTAGCAATCTTTTTGAATGGGAGTTTTGCAAACCACGAATGATTCCTTGCTTTGAAAAGTACATATCAAAAAGGCTCTTTCCACTTGCTTTGAGTAAGTGAGGATTTGTTTATAGATGTGTTTCTACAAATGGACAGTAGCTTTAGTTCTTAATTGACGGGTGTTTCGTGATAGATATACATACTAGGGAAGCCCCAACAGTCTGGAAAAAAAAAGGGTTAGCAGTTAGTAACATATCATATTAGCAAATGATGAATACCACTCTTTTTTCAACAATGTTCTCAATTACAGCTTTAATTCTTTGCTTGTTCAATATCAGTAATGCTCCTTGGCACACAAGTTAGTGTTTAAATATTGTAAATCCCCATGTTGACATGATGTCATTTTCTTCTGCTTTTCTTTGTTCTTTTAATATGCTCATTGAAGTGTGGAAACATGGAGGAAAAAGCAAGTAACTCTGCTTGTATGATAGCAGTCAGTGCTCAGAGAGAGGTCCTGGGGTGTCTTCAGGATTAGCCACAACAGTCACAGATGTAGGTTTAGAGTTGGGTGCGTCTGTAGTCAGAGTTCAGGTTTGCCCCCAGCTCTGCAACTTTCCTTGCCTGTCAGCTCTTTGAAGTTCAGTGTTCACATGTGTAAGCTACAGACAAGACACCGCTGTGTAGGAAAGGACACATTTTACGGACGCTGGCATGCATCTGCAGTGCCAGGATGAAGACCTTTAGCCACTGGCAAAGTCTCAGGACGACTGATCCTGGATGGTCCGTGCAGGAGATGAGCTATCACGGTCTGGCCGTGCGACCCCCATGACCCTCCCAGTCGGGCTCTGAGGAAGGGTGCCCATTTCAGAACCATAGCCTGGCTGTTTCTGCACTCCTGGCAAATACTCACAGCGTCTTCGACTGCCAGTGGCTGTATGTCAATTTGCTGAAATTATGTAACCGTTATGTGGCTTGACTAGAGGTCATATCATCAAAGTATGAGAAATATGGCATGCGAGGATATTCCCAAATGATACTCACCCAGAATCACTTATACGCATTTATTTTTCTTGCTTCTTTTTAATTTTTCCTCCTCCTGGCTCTCTGCCCAGCTAGTTTGACTTTTTCCAGCATCTAAGAGCCTCAGATTTGAATACGGTCCATTGACAGTCACAACGTTGTCTTTCTTTATTCTCACCCCTGCCCCCATCTTCTCTGTCTTCTTGATCTGCTCACCTTTGCCCAGGTAATCTAGTACCAAATTCTGACTTGGCTTGATCGTTTTCCCCTGCCTCCAAAGAGCTGCCACACAGACCCTGTCATTCTCATTAGAGCTGGAAGAGGAAGTTCACATTTGGCCCAGCCACCATGCGCTCATGTTCTTCCTCACCTTTGGATCCTTTCCATTCTGTCTTCTCTCTGGCAGCCTGACCTCTCATTCTTCAGTAGACAGCCAGTGTGTGTTAGGGTCAGATGTAGCTTTTAATGCATGGAAGGCAATGCAGGTAACCCAGGACGTGATCGGCGTGCCATATAATACAGTAATTAGAATCATTATCATCAACATTGTTTGTCCGTCCTGTAGCGGGAGTGATGTTAGTGCTTTGCTTGCCCTGTTCTCAGTTTGAACGTGTGCACTAAAAACTCACTTGGGAAATAATCAGTACATAGTAGGACCAGTGGATGGCAGGGAAAGAGAAGAAGCATGAGCACAGAAAGCTAGAAAGGGTAGCTAACTTTGTCCAGAGGGCAAGATACAGGAGCAAGTGTGGACTTAGGATGCGTGTAATCTCTGCCGTGCTTGGTGTGAGGCACTCTCATTGTTTTCATGTCACGGTGATTTTGGAAAGCATACTCTTCCCTTTGTTTTACGCATCAACGTGGTGGGCCTTTGCAAGAGAAAGTCGGAGAAGGTCACATGCCAATTCTCCAATTCCCTGCTTTTTTTTTTTTTTTTTAATGTTTACTTATTTTTGAGAGACAGAGAGAGACAGAGACAGAGTGTGAGCAGGAGAGGGGCAGAGAGAGAGGGAGACACAGAATCCGAAGCAGGCTCCAGGCTCTGGGCTGTCAGCACAGAGCCCGATGCGGGGCTTGAACTCATGAACCTTGAGATTGACCTAAGCTGAAGTCGGACGCTTAACCCACTGAGCTACCCAGGTGCCCCATCCAATTCCCTGTTTTTTAACTGACCCCAAATGCATTTGGCTTTTTCACTCTTTTCGTTACCTAACCTGCTTCTGACATCAGCAGTGCACAGAATAATGTTGTTGGTTAAGTTGTAAAGAGGATGTTCAGTTTTCTAACAAACGCCGTAGCGATCTTCTTCACCTAGCGGTCCAGTCCAGGTGCTATTCTCCAAGAGGCTGCTAACAGTCTTGCCACTATTTGAAACGCCATGTTTGCTGGCTCATCCAGAACTTTGCTGTCTGCATCCCCTCTGCTAGAATGCACGTGCCAGAGGGCTGTGTTTTCGTGGCTGCACACTGCCCCCCACAACGTCTGTGCCTTGTCACCTTGACCCCACTCAGTGGGTATTTCTTGAGTGAATAAATGAAGGAGCTCTTTAGTGAGTAATTAGAATTCTCATCACCACCTTTATTAAAGGAACTTCCTACGTGGTAGATGAATAATTCTGACTTTCAGAATATTCCAGTCTTTATGAATAGTGTATGTCCATAGGTTGATAGCTATAGAGAGATAGAGGGATGGATACAAAATAAAGGGACAAAAAAAGCAAATGTCTCTCTTTGTGTATGGTTCTTACTTAACATTTCAGAGTGCTATAAAAATACCATGGAAAGCATGTATTGGGGTGCCTGGGTGGCTCAGTTGGTTAAGCATCCGACTCTTGACTTTGGCTCAGGTCACCATCTCACAGTTCATGGGATGGAGCCCCGCATTGAGCTCTGCACTGACAGGGGAGAGCCTGCTTGGGATTCTCTGTTTCCCTCTGTCTCTGCCCCTCCCCGACTCATGCTTGCTCATTCTCTCTCTCTGTCTCTCTCTCAAAATAAATAAACATTTGGAAAAAGAAAAGCAGCAAGTATTTATTCACAAAAGCCCCTTGGCATGTTTAAACACGATACTTGATTTTAATGTCTCACTTTTCAAACATCTTGTCCCAATGTCCACCATAAGCCTTTTTCTTATATATATCATGACTAAAATGACCATTCAGAAAAACCCCACGCACTTAGAAAGGTTGTGAAATATTCGACTGTCTCAAGAAGTTTTACCTTGTCTGTCTCCCTGAAGACTCCCGTCTAGGCCTAGATGATTCCCATTTATCAAAGACAACCAGCAACCTCTGCTCTATGTGGTTAAGGCGGATGTTATAAATACCCCTTAAGGGCAGTACCGTAGCAGTACCCCTGCTTCTGCTGCTGCCTTCCCCTCGAGATTGAACTGCTGTCGGAAGAGAGGGCTTTCCAGTGACCCTCCTCTCCCCGTTGTCTTCTGGTGAACATAAACAGAATGATGAGGAACCCACTCATTTCCAATCCAATTGTTCCAGTGTTCCAGCTTTGACTTTAATGGCCAACACAAAGATGGGTGTGTGTCCTTAGTGGTTTGGGGTCTGGCGTGGCCAGGACCGACATCTCCCTGGAAGCGGGAGTCAGGTGCCCATCACCGCAGCGCCACCAGTGGGAACAGGCTGTCCGCTGCCAGCACCGCGGGCTCCAGCTGGGGACGGGACAGCCTGTGTGTCCCTGTCCAGCGGCAGCTGCCGGAGGAAGTGCGCGTCTGGCCGGTCCGCTGTCGCTTCCTGAGGCCGGACAGGAACAAGCTCGGCCTCCGCAGCTGCTCAGCTCCGAGCTTATGTGTGCTGGTCACAAGTTGGGAGGGGCGACATTGAGGGATAGGTGAACACCGTGCCAATGACCCCAGGGTCCTGAAACACTGATTGCATCTTCTGAAAGTGGCAACAAACTCCTGCCCCCAGTGGCAGCGAAAGCGATGAATACTAATGGAGAAAGATCGTTCTTATTTACTGCCATAGGTGGCCATTGGCTTTATATAGCCCTTCAGTTAATCAGTTAGTCATTCGCTCCGCAGAGATTTAGCTCCATATTCAGCTCTGT